ACCATCCTTCGGTTACCGTCCTTCAGTTAAAAACATTTGTGTGCGTCCTGATGTTCATACCATTCTTTGATTATCGTCCTTTAGTTAAAAAGCATTCGAGTGCATCCCAGTGTTCACACCACACCTTTCTCGCGTGCAACGCGTTAGGATCTTGTTTGACATCTCGGGTATGCCCGATGATTTTTTTGCTCTTCGTCTTTCCTGCACGCGTAGTTAAGCTTGCATAATTTTCTTACATCCTTTCTGCATGAAATGTGGTTTGGCTCGTAATTCTCACACGTGGCATGTTTGTTTACTCCTTCTTCTAATTGAGATTGCTGTGCCTTATTTCAGTATGTTTAAATGTGGCATTTTCATTGTATTGCATTTGCATTTAAATGTTTCATTGCATAGTCTCATTGCATGATCATAAGTTATGTTCTAGCATCATGCATATCATTTGCATCTTGCCCCGGAACTACGCTGGTTTGATTCCTTGCAAAGGGATACGTAGGCAACCTACGAGCGCAACCATTTGTTTTCTTGACTCGTTTGTGTGTCCAAGTCTTACGGCCTTGTGAAAATGGGTCGTCTCTGGGCTTTGACATTCACTCACGTCATTTCATGACTCCAAGTTCTGTCAAAGAGGGGCAACTGTAAACACCCCATTTTGATGGCGCCCTTTAAGACTTGATGTTCTTACAGGTACATCTGATGACGAGTCTAATTGCTCGCCGAGCGCTTGAAGTCCGCGGCAGAACGCCACAGATTTGAGTATTTCAAACCCTGCATCCAGTTTGTCTCATCTTTGGACCATGCCTAGGTCTTTTCAATATGAAGTCTCAGATGGCCTGCCAGCCATCCTTGGAGGCTACCGGCCACAACTTTTCCTTTGCCAGCCATCACTGAAGCATTTCCGGCCGTCACTGATGGCCGGCCAGCCATCAGTGTTTCCTGTAGATATTTTGTGATATTTTGTGGCAGTGTTTGCACAGATTCATGCATCTTCTACCACGTGTATGGCTAGATGTTTGTGAGAAAATTTTGTGTTTTCTATAGATAGGACCCCTCTCTCTTATGTGTAGGGGTTAGAGAATTTGAGACATAAAAATTCTCTCTTTCTCTCTAGATTTCTCTCTCTCTTGCAAATTTGTGTGTGTTTGCTTAGTTTCTCTACACTTTAGCCTACATCTCCTAAACCAAATCCTCTCACCTTTGAGCTGAGGTTCCTTGGGGCCTTCTTGGAGCTCTTGAAGATGGTTTTGGCTTGAACTTGTGCCTAAAGTGTTCTTTTCTTCAAGAGGTAGAATACTAGTCTTGTTATCTTGTTTTCAATACTTGTTTTTCTATCTTTTTCAATTGTTTTTGGGGCTGTTTTTGAACTGTAAAAAGCTCTGTTTTTGTGGCTTAAAAATGGTGGTTTGAGCCCTTTTTCAGTTAGGGGGTGGTTCACCCTTCTTGTTTCTTAGTTTATAAAGCTTTTGTGTCTTTAACCATCATTTTCAAACCAACCTTTTTAGGCCTTTTAACCACTGAATTTCAGAGGTTTTTTAGTGGCAAAAATCTCATTTTGAAGTCCAAAATTGGAGGGGTTAACCTCCCCTCCTTGTGTCTTGTTTGCATGCTTAGTTAGTCTTACATGTTAGTATGTTTTTCTAGCTTAACTTAGCTTAAGTCTAGCATGTTTTAGCCTCTGAAATAGCCTGTTTTAGTTCTGTTTTGGACTGTTTGGTTCATTTGAACTTTGTTTTGTGTAGTTGTAATGTAAATCCTTGCACTAGCTTGTTGTTTTAAGGCTTTAAACATCATTGGTGTAACTTGGCTACATGTTTTTAGTGTTTTTATCACTCAATTTCAGCACCTAAATCTCTACAACCTCCCCATTTATTTCATTCTTTCACTTATTTTTTAGGGTTGTTTCAAACTTGGGATCCTTTAAGCTTGAGATTGAGGTCATGCTCAATGGTTTAATCCTTTTTTAGGGTTCATTATCAAATGCATGATCTCTCTCTTGCCTTACATTATCCCTTGGTTGACATTTCCTTCATCTTAGAGGATACTTACCAATGGACAAATTGATTAAAGAATGATTTGGTAATTAAAATATGTAAACAAAATTGACAAGTAAAAGTGACAAGATAAGCATGTCTTTCTATTGCATTGTATGTGTTCAAATCGGACATTAATTTGAACACAAAGAAAATGGGACATTTCATACTCAAAAGTGATGAAATGTGCCACTTTCCTAGGTCTCCATTGCCCTTGATCATGCATGATAGGGTGGTGATCTTGTCGATCATATTTGTGCATTTATCGAAATTGTATAACTTGGATCTTTGGCCATCATGCAATGAACTTGTTTGATTGGTGGTTTTTGGATCTAAATGTGTCACTTCTTTGAGATATTGAGATAATAAGGAGGGATACAGTACAAACAAAGCCTTGGAAAAACCTTCTTTTTGCTCTGTTTGTGCTCTGTTGCAGCATGGTGATCCAATGCATCAGTGGCCAGCAGGCCACCATTATGGCCGGCAGTGCATCATTTCTGGCCGACAGGACACCTCCTTGGCCGGCAAATGGCCGGCAGCTTCCCTCCATAGCCGGTAGGCCACTGATGTAAATCTCAGCAAAGATTTGATAAGGTGAAGAAGAAAATTTCTAGAAATGCTCAACCCTACAAACAGAGACTTTCAAGAGCAAAACGGAGGTCTTTTCGGGCCAAAACCGAGCATGTGCATCTTCCACTTCCCGAGGCGGAGTAGTGGTAGCATAGTTAGGAATGTTAGTTGCTTTGTTTACTCGTATTTGTGTTGTAAATTAATTACTCCCTCTGTCCCAAAATATTAGTCCCTTATTCCATTTTTTATTATCCCAAAATATTAGTCCCTCTTCAAAAATCAAATACAAAAATAATATAAATTTCCTATTTTGCCATTCTTTTAAATTAATAAACAATATGAAAAGTACAATTATGACATTGATATTCCCAAAAAATGTACTATCAAAAGGGTAATTTTGGAAAATCAACTTTTTTAAAGTGCAATAATTATACTATCAAAAAAAGTTACATTCCCCAAAAGGGACCATTATTTCGGAGTAGATGGAGTAGTTAGTTTGCTAGTTAGTTAAAGTGTTGTAATAATTAGTGATTAGCTTAACTAGTTATTCATTTGATTTGTAATAATTAGTCTAATTAGCTTAATTAGATTAGCTTAGCTCTTATTTATTCGGACCCTCATTCGCGAGGGCATAATGTTGTAATAAGTGTGCGTGCGTGTGCATATGTTTTCCAACCCCACATCTTTCTCTCTTTTATTTAATCGCTTTCGATAGTTAGATTATGGATATATTTCAATTAGCATACCTTATGCCTTATGCTTGCATCCATTCATTTGTATTGCATGTACCGATGCTCGGTGCATCATTCAAACTGTATTGTCATTTCAATATACTTATTTGAATATATGTTCGATCACATGTTGTTCAAATCAAGCCATATGTCATATTAGTAGCCGAGTCTATTAATTGCATATTGCATATGTTGCATTAGGCATCTTGTATAGTTAGGAATCATGCATATTTCACTAACTCATATTTTCTTAGCTTGGAGTACTAGGTGAGTTTTACGCTTTAGCATACTCGCATGAATGTCGATGTTGCGATGATTAGCATGCTTACCATGAGGCTATGTGCTTAACTGCTAAACTGCATGAATGCCTGTGGATGAAAGCTTGTTGTTTGAATTGGAACGATTCAACAAATGTGCGTTTTAAGCCTACTTCGTTGAGTAGTAAATCATGTTTTAAGTCCATTATGTTTGGTGGCAAATCTGCAACTTTTAAGCCCACTTAAAGTGACAAATTCAAACTATTTTCACAAACAAATATGAGTTGAATTTTTCAAATTGAACAAACTAGTCTATACTTGCTTGTGCATATCACATAGTAAAGCTAGTCTAATAATCGGAACAAGAGCACGTAATGTACATAAAAATCATATCATGATTAGTAAAGGATGATCTTTTGATCGGGCGAGAAGGGGTGCTCAGTTCATGACTTTTCCCCTTCGTGCCCAAGTTCTCGAGTCGAGGCAACTTTGGTGATAACGGACACGTAGCCTTTGGCACAAGTCAGGATTTTCTAAATTTTTCCAAATTAAAAACTATTTAGGTGGTGATTCTGTATCTGGCAAAGCTGTCTAATTTTGGCATTATTTGATTTAAAATAGATTTTTCAAAAAGATTTGCCGGATTTGGACTCTTTACTGTTTATCAGTTTCACATTGCACTTGTGAGACTAGATTCAGAACCGCGGAAGTCCGAACTGTGAGGCATTCTTTTCAAACCTTCCGAAAGGGGGCACAGAAAAAGGCAAGTCTACAGCAAGGTTGCTCAAATTTGTAAAAAAATTATCCCAATAACTTTTAACTCTAAAAATTTGTAATCTAAGCCCAACACTCTTTTAATCTATTCTCAATTTTTTAGAAGTAATCAATAATACAATAAGTAAAACCTTAGCATCACTTGACGGATAATGTCATACATGAAATATTGAATTATTTTATTATTGCATCATCTTCGTTCATGTAATTATTCAATACACGAAATTTTCTTCTTAAATAAATTTTTTTGGATCATAAGAAAATTTCAAACTTAGAAAATCATAAACTAACTAATAGGCAAAACCAAAATGCCTAAGAATGCCAAACTGACCTGTTAGTGCTCCTTAGTTGTTTGGCTTTTTCAAGGAAAGTCATGAGAATGTGACCTTTGAAAATGGCAATCGTGCACGAATCCTTGAAAAAGTGAACAATGGTTTCTCTTGGTCTATCTAGACTGGAGAATATTCTTTATTTGAAGGCAAATTTGTTTAGTATTAGCTAAATTTGTGATCGTGATCACTATATGCATTCTAATAATAATAGTTGGTCTATTCTTGATAATTTTGGTTTGTGAGATTTTTTGATAACTGTTATTGATTTATTTCGGTTACATCTCTTTCTTGTGTGACCATTAAATTATGTTTAAAAGCAAATTGCTAGAGATCATTACAAAGTGTAGAGAAGAATCTAACTTATTTTACTAATACATTTGAAGGATGTAAAATGATTGGAGAATTACATTTTGAATCATATGTCTCCATTTTTTAGAAGATTCTTGAACCATTTGGCTGAAAGTTTGGAATATCTTTTCAAACCATTTTTGTAATCTACATAGTTGATGCCAAAACGAACTGTGTAACCCGAGCTCCATTCAAAATTATCCAACAGTGACCATGCAAAATATCCTTTCACATTAGCACCATCCCTATATGAAAAACAAAATCAACAACAAACTTCATATGTAATAATTTTTTATTTTTTTTTTAAATTTCTTGAAGTGTAACTTTCGCACTCATATATTTTGTAAATGCAACATTATTTATTAGTCACCTTCAGAACTTACTTGATTGCTTGTAGAAGGAAAGAAAGATGGTGATAATAGTAATGTATCCTCATGTTGTCGGCAAGGGCTTCTTCAAGTGATAATGTAGCATTATTTGCCTCATCAATCCCTGAAATGAATGGGCTAAGAATGTTTAGTGTAAACTTAATTTGTAATTACAAATTTATTAGATTTATATGTTACTAAATGAAACAATTTTATGTTAATGCAAAATTATTAATGAATTGATTACCATTCTCCGTGATATAAATAAGAGGATTATTATATTTTTTCTTCACGTAGAGAAGAATATCATAAATGCCTCTTGGATAAACAAAAAGCCAAGTTGAAGCAGCCTGTAAGATCACGTAAAGTATAGAGTTGATTATGAAAATTTTCTATTCATATGCAAGTTGGTAAATATATTAAATTTAAACAAGCTCCACAAGAAGAATTGCTTAAATTTCTACTTCTTACCATAGCACCGATAGGAACCCCATTCCGCTTAGCTAGCATAACAAAAGAATCATGTCTAGTTAGCACATATTAAGTTATAATAATGTTTTTAATTAATGGTACAAAACTTTGAACTTACTTGTAAGGTTAACCTGAGAATCTGTTAAAAAACTGGCATTTACACTATTGGAGTTTGGTGCATATGCTGCATAATTAGCGGTGTAATAGTTCAGTCCGAGAAAATCAAATGATCCTTTTAACATCTTGGACTGTTCTTTGGAGAACTTAGGAAGTCTTTTTCCCACAAGAGTCCGCATTGTATGTGGATAGTCGCCAGTTGTTAGAGGGTCCATAAACCTCCAATACACAAGGAAAAACATAGTTAGGACATATCATAAATTGATGACCCTACTTATGACAATATTGTTCAGTACCATATGCGTTATCACAAAAAGGACAATTATAAAACACTCACCATCCTGACATAAAATCAAGGGCCCTTAGTGCAGCAGTGCGGTCTTGTCTTACTTCTGAGTAAGGTACCATCCAATGTGATACGAGTGTAATTCCAATCTTTCCCTTTTGTGATGTCTGTTTACATTTCCATCATTTGAGTAACTCAAAACTATCTAATATATTTGTATCAAGAATTTATCATATGTAGCAAATCTATTCTTAAACATAAAATTACTTTAGTTTCCATCGACTATGGTTAGGAAGTAGCATTAAAATTAGCATATACTTGAGAACTCTTTGATAATAATGTGAATTATATATGTAGTTTCCTTGGGTTTTCAAGTGAGACCTGATACTTTCGCTTGTACAAATTTACTGCAGTTGCATGAGCGAGAAGTTCGTGGTGTGATACAATATATGGCTCAGTGCTTGAATCCCCACCAGTACAATTTAATTGTAGCCATGAAGAGCATCGACCTGGTGCAGAGCTACCAACTGCGTACCCACTCATGCTATATGACCACGGCTCATTCAAGGTGATCCAGTACTTCACCCTATCACCAAATTCTTTGAAGCAAAGTTCTGCAAAGCCTTTGAAATCATCCCTATAAAGTCAATCATCAATGTTGGAATATGACACAAATACATTACAATGTTTTACATATTAACTTCAGGACTTCATGATTAATAATTCAATTCTATGACTACTTCCATTTCTAGGTTACCATCGGATGCTAAAGTCCGACACGGGGTCCTTATTGTGTACTAAGCACAGCAGGATGTGCTGTGGCCTAATACAGCACCGTTTTGCTTTCTTTTCTTTTGTTTTTTTAATCCTATTTTTTGTTTAATTAAAATAACTATGCATTGGTTCCATTTCTCATGAAAGGATCCACATACATGCCACATTTCAACTTTTTTACACAATAGTAAAAGTTTAAATTTACACCACTTTTTTTGGTGCATAATATTATTGTAAATAAAAAAAAAAAAAAAAAAGAGTATTTAGAATTCAAAATTTATGAACTATATTCATTTTGAATATACCTTACACCAAACTATGTTTAAATTGACACCTACTTTTTTTGTGTAATATTATTAGATATGTAAAAAAAAAAAAATGATATATGTAAAAATTGTATTGAAATTTTAAATTTTTTGAGGCTTTCTTTTTCTTATTAAAATTTCTTAAATTGTCATTAATATGACCCTAATTTTTTATACAGTAAGAAAATTAAATTATAAAGAAAGATTACAAATAGATTAAAAGAAATGTAGTGTACTAAGAACAATATTTGAAAAACTATTTGAAATTTATTCAAAATTTGAATATGCAGTGCAACTATTAAAAAAAAAATTTGTATGGTGCAGATTTAAATTTAGTGTGCAACATTCAAGATAATATGATTTGTACATTTTTAATTATGCATATCTTTTAGTGTATTGAAAAAAATACTATGTACTAAGAAATACATTCATAATTTAAATTTGTAGTGTACAATTAAGGTAAATACACTTTGTCCCTTTAAGTTTGGTCATTTTTTTCACTTTTTTCCTTAAATTTTATCCCCCACTTTGGCTCTTCATATTTCAATTTTTTAAATTTTTTTTAATACTCTAAAAGCTAACTTTTGTCCAAAAATATATATATAATGACATATTAACAGTCATGTGACATAAAAATATTTTATTATATATAACTCACACATTTAATATAAATCCAAACTCAATTATAATAATATATTTTTTATCATGTGTCAATTAACGTAACATTTTTTGTTTAATTTTGAACAAAAACTTAAAACATGTAGAGTCAAAGTGAAAAAAAATAAAAAAATAAAATTAAAGGTCAAAAGTGAAAAAATTGCCATACATAAAGTGAGCAAATAAAACAATTAAAAGAAGAAAAAAAAAAGTGAAAACAAAACGGTGCTGTTTTTGGATCACAGAATCCCTGTTGTGCAGCAGGCATCCCATGTCCGCTAAAGTCCACGTTTCATATGGAAATGTTTTTTAATATTTTATAATATATATATATATATATATGTATTTTTAGAAAGTATAATACTCTAATTTTTTTCATCAAATTTTATGATTTTTATTTTTAATTCTTAAAAAATAAATTGAGCTGTCTCACTTGCGAGGCTTTGCGATGAAAATATAGGATTCAACTGTTCACCCTAGTTTGACTTAAATAAACCATTTGACAACCATCAAAAACAAAGAAGGAAAACAAAAACTCAACAATTAAGAGCATATTGTGATTTTAAATGAAGAGATTAACCATCTCAAAACTATAAGAGAAAAAGCAATTTACTTTATTCCCTTCATATATATATATATATATATTCAGTATGAACCAACAATTTAATTTAAAAATAAAAATAAAAAATTTTCATATGCTTCTATCTAGTTTAAATATATACAAATATCACAAATTGACTAGCTAAAAAATTGAATCATTAGATGAATATATCTTTACTTACACAATTTTTGGACTTAAGAAACCCCCATACTCATCTTCCAATGCTTGGGGAAGATCCCAATGGAAAAGGGTCACAAAAGGCTTTATACCTACGAATGTCAGCATAAGAAGATAAGATAATTATGAGGAGAGAGATGCTAGAGAATATATATGTATATATATGAAAATTTTGGGTAATCACACTAAGAAAAAATATCATCAATATGAATTATAATTTTAAAATTGATTATGTATGTACTGTGATGTGTGTTATTTGGTACTAATATATTTATCTTGTGGTGTGAAGTGTGAACATGGTATTTTTATTGGGGAGAGGGCATAAATCTGCAGCAAATGAGTACTCTGAATTTATTTTTAAATACAGAATGCCTGAAAGTTATCAACACTACTCAACAAGAACCATATCAAAACTATTTTGACATGAGTAATTTCATACAAGAAGAAAAGAAAAAAGGCAAAAAAAAAAATATACACAATTTTAATACGTAATGACGTGGTTTAGTTATATTCTTTTGCTTTAAAACGGAATACCAAAAAGAAAATTAT